GCCATGTGCTCACTGCGCCCTTGCGAGCTGCCTTAGATACTTACAGCCTATAGAACAGCCCTACTCCGCATCAGTTAGGAAAATTACCCAGGCCTCAGACTCTCCAAGGAAAATGCCATGTGTCCTCCTAGGCCTTTGCCTCCACACAACCTCTGGTGGCAGAATACACCCACCTAGAAAATGCAGTTTCAGCTCAGTGAACACTTCCTAGGTGGGCACCTCATTTCTCGTTAAGATGTAGGTGCCAGCATTCAGGAAACTGAGGCAGAATGACCATAAACTCCAAGACCAAGTCAAAAAAGAAATCTAAGTTGAATGTGGAGGTGTATCCCAAAATCCTAGCAATCAAGAAACCGAGAAAGGAGGATCGTGAGGCCATCCTAGGCTACATATGAGATCCTCATCTTCAAAGCTCAAACACACAGAAGTGGACATGAACATGTGATGGACAAACTACAGGGGTGGAAACAGCAATCAAAGTGAGCAGAGTGCCGCTGTGCCCAACTGCTGCCCCTGGGCGTCCTGAGCACAGCTGCTCTGTCTGTACCTGGTCCTGAGCGGGCAGAACACAGTGGCTGGGGTGGCCCATTGGCCCCACTCACCTGCCGTTATCACACAGCCATAGAGGTCCCCTTACCATTCAGAATCAGTCAGCTGTGTATTTGGTTCTTTCTCTGGCATGTGTGTTTATGTGTTAAGTCAGTTGCTTTTCTCAGTACTGTGACCAAACATACGACAAAGCTTAAGGCCTGTGTTGTGAGGTCTGGCCCATCATGGCTGGGGGAGCACGGCAGCTGGAGAGTGCGGCTGCCGGTTCACATCTCGGTGGAACAGGAGTCATAAGAAAGTTGAAGTGGGTCAGTCTGTGAAACATGAAAGCTAACCCCCCATAACCCATCTGCTATGACCCACCTCTCAAAGGTTCACGGCCTCCCAAACAGTACCACCAGATGTAGGAGCCTGTACACACACAGACCACACATGTTCTCGCGTGTTTTCTTCTCCCTACCTGGAAGAACAGAGAAGACACTGTCGGGCTCAGACAGTGGCACAGCCCAGCACGCACCTTGAAGTGCTGAGTGCTTGGTGGGAGAGCAGCCTCCCATCCAAGGTCTTCCTCTGTCTCCTTTTCAGCCGTCACTCACCATGTAGCCTAAGCAGTCCTGAACTTTCAGTCCTCCTGCCTCAGCCTCCCGAGGAGCTGCGGTTAAAGACTTTACAACATTGCAGAAAATTGTCTGGCAATAAATTATATTTGCTCCAAAATATAACTTAACAAAACTTGTTTTGTTTGTTTTGGAAACAGCACTTATTTTTGTAACTGCTTTCTTTCTTTTTCTTTTTTTTTTTTTTTGCTTTTTCGAGACAGGGTTTCTCTGTGGCTTTGGAGCCTGTCCTGGAACTAGCTCTGTAGATCAGGCTGGTCTCGAACTCACAGAGATTCACCTGCCTCTGCCTCCCGAGTGCTGGGATTAAAGGCGTGCGCCACCATCGCCCGGCATGTAACTGCTTTCTACAACAAAGAATTTGTTAATTTTTATTTTATGTGTATGAATGCTTGCCTGTGTGTGTATGTAAGTGCACCACATACATGCAGTGCCTGCAGAGGTCATAAGAGGATGTCAGATCCCTTAGAACTAGAGTTACAGACAATTGTGAGCTGCCATGTAGGTCCTGGGAACTGAACTCGTCCTTTACAAGAGCTATGCTCTTAACCAGGGGGCTCTCTCTCCAGCCCCACAACTGCTTTGGAAACAGCATGAGGCTAGCTTCCTGAAACCAGATACCCTTTCTGTGTAGTTTCAAGGTGAGCACATGATATTCATTAAAATAGATATTAATTAAAATACTGGGAGCAAGGCCAGCCTGGTCTACAAAGTGAGTTCCAGAGCAGCCAGGACTACACAGAGAAACCCTGGCTTGTATGAGTTCTAATTGGTCTTAATAATAAAAACCCGGAGCCAGATAGTGAGGCAAACGCTAAAAGATCAGAGAGACAAGGAGCAAACCACAGCCAACTCTTACCTTGCTGACTCCTCAGTGGAAAACTGGCCTGAGCTCCTGTCTCCTCCTGCCTTCTATTCCTCTCTCCCTGTCTGTCAATACAGACTTCCAGACCGCTATGGTTAACTAGTGGCTAGTGGCTAGTTCCACCCTCTGATCTTCAGGCAAGCTTTATTTGTTAGAATACAAACAAGATATCACCACAACCCTGTTTCAACAAAACCCTGAAACAACAACAAAAAACAAAAACAAGCAGAATTTTTAATTCTTTTAAGTTTTTGTACATTTATACCATATATTTTAATAAAATCCATCCTTCCTCAGTTCTCTGTGCCCCCAATCTGTGTCCCTCTCGACTTCATGTCTTCCTAACCCTGAGTCTAGTTAATGCTGTCCATATATGCATGGGCGTGGGACTACCCATTAGGGCGTGAGCAACCTGTTAGCAGCCTCTACCAAAAGGAGCGTGACTATACCTCCCTCAGCAACCCCTGACTGTTAATGGTTTTCCCACCAAGCATGGGCCCTTGCCAGTTCACACTGCCATTTTGACCGGCTTGATGTTGTATAGGTCTTGTGCAGGTGATCACAGCTGCTGAGTTGATTTGCACAACAGCTACGCCATGTCCAAAGTGAACATTTGGCAGCTCTCCTCATGGCTCCCTTAACCTTTGTGCCTGCTCTTCTGCAGTGTTCCCTGGTTCTTGCACGGGGGAGGTTCCTAGGATGACTCATGTGCAGCTGAGCACTCACAGTTCAAGAACACACGTCTTCAAGTACCATTTGTGTTATTAAAAGGGGGTGGGTGGAGATAAATCAGGGGGTTGGAGCCAGTGTACTGAGCCTGTAAATGAGACTTGTTATAGTCCCATTTAAATAGGTAATAATAATAATAATAATAAAAACCCAGCGTCCCAAGTCTATGGCTTCTTAAAGAATCCATATACAGAAAGACTCAGTTGACGTCTGATGGCTTTGCTTTTTTTTCTCATTTCTTCATTGTGTTATTCTGATGAGAATTTTAATTTTGTTTTTATTTTATGAATATGAGTGTTTTTCCTGCATGCAAGTGTACCACATGCATGCATTGTCTACGGAGGCCAGAAGAGGGTACCTGATTTCCCAGAACTGGAGTGACAGGCAGTTGTGAGCGGCCCTGAGAGCGCTGGGAAGTGAACTCCTGCCCTCTGCAAGAGCAGCAAGTGCTCTTAACCACTGAGCCATCTCGCCAACAAGATTTCCATTTATTCATTTATTTATTTATTTTGAGACATAATCTTATACTGTGGCTCAGGCTGGCCTGGAACTCACTGAACAACACAAGTTTGTTTCAAACTCATGGCAATCTTCCTATCTCTACCTTCCCAATGGCAGAGTCTCTGGTGTGAACCACCCCCCCCCCAACACACACACACATACACACTTGGCGACAGGTTGTTATATAGTGCAGGCCAGCTTAGAACTGACTATGTAGCAGAGAATGGCCTTGAATGTCTGATCCTCTTGCTTTGACCTCAGTGTTGGGATTACGTGTGTCTGTCACTATGCCTGATTTATAGTGTACTGGAGGTAGACCTCAGACGCATGTGGGACACTCTGCAAACTGAGCCACATCCTCACTACCCTGATAAGATTCTTGGTTGTGGTTGGTATCTTTTATTACAGAGTCTGCCACCTCTATGACATTCCACTTAGATCAAGGCCTTTCGAGTTATTTCTGCACTTGCCTTTAGTGTTAGGCATGGGCTACTTTGAAGGCAACTATGGGTATTTAGCTCTTTTTCAGAAGTGGATATAATGCTTACCTGAGACCTGTTACAGTCTTGTGAAAATCAGACAGTGGGGTGGGGATCCAAACATTCCACAGCCCTGTGTAACTTTGTGTGGTGTGCAAAGACACTAGCATGGCGAGCAAACCTGGCCCCCTTTGGGGATCCGTGTCCTCTGCTTCCGTGGGGAAATTTTCCATCCTCTTCACTTTGTTTGCAGATAGCAAACCTCCCGGAGTTCCTGTGATTTCTGAGATTCCAGGATTAGCTTGGCCATTTTTGGAAGTTTAAACTTTCTGTTTGCCGCACCTCCCTTAAATTGACGGGCTATAGGTTCCTCACACTGACCAGAGTCTGCTGAGTAGAGTTCTTTGATTATGCTTAGGACTCTGAGTGATGTTTAAAGACATAGTCCAGTCCTGAGATCTAATTAACATGGAGGGCAGGGGTGGGGGGGTGACTGCCTCATCTCCTGTGGCAAGCATCACAGAAAGCAAGATCTCTGCAGGCATGGAGAGGTCTTTGTGTGTAGCTCTCCAGAAAAGGGAAAGACCTTTGGCGCTTGGGGCACTTTCCTCACGCTGCCTCTTTTAGCAGGGGGCTTTCTTTCTTTTTGTGGGGATGGTGGTAGTAAGACAGGGTTTCGCTGCATAACCCAGGTTAGCCTTGAGTTTGCCGTGGTCCTCCTGCCTAGGCCTGCCCAGTACGGGCATTACAAGTCAGTGTCTCCATGCCAGGCTTGACGGAAGTTTTCTTGAAGACTACCAGGGACAGGGACCCGACACCTCATTGATGGGTGGTGGGTCAGTGCCCACGCCTGGACTCCAGCTCAGCGTGGCAGATGGTCTAGCAAACAAGGGGTAAACCCGAAAATGCACTGCGCAAGAGCGAGCGCAAAGGAGCCGGGATGATTGAGCACGTGCGGGAAGAAGTTTCCTTTGTCATCAGTGCCACGTGGCACCATGGCGGTCTTTGCCTGGGGTTAACCCCAGTAGCTATCTCCAACTGCAGCGCACGGATCGCAGACACAGTAGCCGCCCCAGCGAGGCCCCGGGGTCCGGGAAAGCGCCCCCACTGTGAGGAAATTGAAGGGCAGCGAGCGGAGGAGCTCGGGGGTGGGGCTCGGGATGGGGGCGGGACTCCAGGTGGGGATGGACCTCCGAGTGGAGGCGGGACTTCAGGTGGCGACAGGGCTCCGGGACGATTCGTGGTCCGGACCGGTATCAGGTGGGGCAGCGGTGGCCCGGAGAAAGGGAGTCCGGGGAAGGTCTGGGGCTGTGCTCAGGCAGGGGCGGAGGCAGGCGCAGCGGGTGGAGTAGGGACGGAGCTCCGGGCGGAGACGGGGGCGGAGCTCCGGGGCGGGGCGCAGGCGGCCCGGGAGGCGGCGCTCGGGCCGGGACGCGCGGGCCGGGCATGGCGTCGATGGCGGCGGCGATCGCGGCCTCGCGCTCGGCCGTCATGAGCGGGAACCGGCCGCTGGACGACCGGGAGCGGAAGCGCTTCACCTACTTCTCGTCGTTGAGCCCCATGGCTAGGAAGATCATGCAAGACAAGGAGAAGATCAGGGAGAAGTACGGGCCCGAGTGGGCGCGGCTGCCGCCCGCGCAGCAGGACGAAATCATCGACCGCTGCCTGGTGGGGCCGCGCTCCCCGCCGGCTGCCGACGCGGGGGACCTGGGGGACCCGGCGCGCTTCCCTGGCCTGCGCGGGCCCACGGGCCAGAAGCTGGTGCGCTTCGGCGACGAGGTGGGTGCGGCGGGACTGGGCCGCTCAGGGCGGAGTGGGCGGCGAGGGGGAATTCAGACTTCCAGAAGGGACCTTTACAGACAAAGTAGAAACGATCGTGAGGAGACCACGCGAACCTGGGCGCTGATGAGGCTATGCCCCTTAGCAGCATGGCCCTTGATGAGTTGTCGACTTAGAACCTCGGTTTTCCGGGTGTGAAACGGGAATAATGTCAACCGTTCCCGAACGCCAGGCCCTCGGGCCGGCGAGGGTTCGGACCTCAGTGGGGGAGGTGGGACTGCCAGGCACCACCGCCCTGGGATGTGTCCTCGGGAGACCACAATGGAGGTTGTGTTTGGGTGTGACATGTGAGTCCCGGTTCCCACCCAAACACCGGAGAAGTTGAGATAACTCCTGCAAGCTTGGGCTCTAGGCGCCAGGGGAGGAGAGAAGCTGCTGAAATTGCTCCAGCTTGACCCTGATCTTAGGCAGAAAGGCTCCAGAGTCTCCGCTGCTCAGAAACCTGGTGTTTTATTTACTTGGGGACGGTTTCTCTGAAGCCCTTTGTGCCACGAGAGTATGTACTTGGACCTCAGAGACTCAACTTTGTTGTGAAGGACAAAATCAGTAGCAGCCAGAGTTGTGAAAGTCCGTTTGGGTGGAGGCAGTTTTCCAGGAGGGGCATGGAGAGTTGTGGATCCTCCCCCCCTCCCAGGGATGGAGGGGGGAAGGTTATGCCGAGTGGAAGGGATAGAGTCAAGAATGAGATTTTTCCGGCCAGGTATTCATCGATGTTTGTTACTACAAAGAACGCTTGTGGTCACAAACCATCTTTACTGCCAGGGACTTGTGAGGACAGAACTGTCCACCAACGTTGCCTTCTGCTCTCCATCCATCCCACTTGAAACTCCGAGGGCCTTGCCAGGAAAAACAAGGGTGTGGTAGGAGATGAAAATATAAGTCTTAAAATATATTCCTGGAGCCGAAACATTTCATTGTGAAAATATGCGTCTCCATAAAGACGTGGACAGAGTTTGCGCTTGGATCTGGGTGATGAGCCGGCAAGCAGTTCCTCTTTGGCAGTGTCTCAGGTAAATAAATCTAAGAGGAAGCAGCCCGGTCAGTGCTTAACGAATGCCAGAGATGGGTTGTCACTGGCCCTGAACCTATCAAAAGCCAAGCCACGGTGGAGCCAGGGTCAAGAGATGTGCCCACCTCCTGCCAGACTGCCCTGTTTCTGCCTTTGTAGACTGGTATGGTTTAGAGCAAATGGGAACTGGGGAGATGGTGTCAGTGGAGACTTGCTGTGCATGGGAGGATCTCTAGCAGTCACAGAGGGGTGTGCATACTTGTGATTCCTGTGCTGGGAAGTAGAGGACAGGCAGATCCCTGGGGATCACTGGCCAGCCAGCCTACCGTATCTGTCAAGTTCCAGACTAATGAGAGGTCCTGTCCCCAAAGACAAGGTTGACAGCGTCTCGAGGGGCAACATCTAATGTTGACCTCTGGCCTACACTCATACCCAATGTTTGTGCCGAATGAACATTGTGCTGAGCTAGCTCTCCACATGCCCTTCAGTAGCGCCCAGGCTGAATGTCCGCAGTGCAAATGGGCAGGATACGCACACACCTTCAAAGTCCCTGAGCTACGCCGCTCGGGCAGAGGGACAAGCAGCCTTGAGTGCTAGGCCAGGGTCTGTAGGATGTCAGCCAGGGTGGATGTTTCTTTTTCTTGCAGTCGTGTGAGGTTTAACAGCACAGGGGACATAAATTCCACTACTCAGTGAGAGGTTGGCGCCACATTGAAGTCAGTCAGTGGTCTCATGTAGGACTAGTGTCTGACCACGGGGCTGACAGATGGGGATACAATGGGATGATTCCCAGCTAGGTGTTTTGATACCCAAATAGGTGACCCCAAATTTGAGAGAAAAAAAACACAAACAAACCAGGGCTCCCGAGCCCTTTCTGCTTATTGCCCTACAGGATGCTTGCTGCCTGTTTCCTTATGTCGCGCGCGGCCTCTGTTGCCAGTGATGGTAATTGTGCCCCTCATGGTAACACCTTCTAGTCATTTTTTTTTAAACTGCCATCATTATTTTTAGTATCATCTACTCATTTTTATGTCTCCCAGGAACAAATTACAGACTAGTGACCATAGGTCTTGGTGACTCTGGATGTGGTAGGGGCTCCTTTACCTGTGTACATAGGGCAGGGGCAGGAACGTGAGACCTTGGTGTGTGTGTGTGTGTGTGTGTGTATGTATGTGTGCGCGCGCATGTATTTACCCTGATCTCCATATAAAGCTGGATGACTGGGCAGAACTCACATCCCCTCTTGCCTTGCTAATTTAACCTGGTCCCCTGTAGAGATTGTGGTTTCTGCCTTAATGTTGAAACAAAGACAGGACTGTCAATATTTTAGCTACTTTGGGAATCAACTGAGCAAGTATTTTTCTAGGCTGTCATAGAAACTAGAGACACCCTGGCTGAGCCCTGCCACCCCCACCAACCCCTATTAGCCTTCATAGCTCTGCTAAAATCACGGCTTTGTGGATGGATCTCAGCGGAGATAGGCAGAGAACTTGGTTTTGTTCAAGGCTGCCAGCCTCCTGCCCCGACTCCGGTGTTGCCTTAATTCCTTCACCAATGTTCTACAGCAGCAAAGAGGAGGGCTTGGAGCCCCAGGTCCCAGGTTCAAGTCCGGCCATGTCAGCACAGGGTGCCCCTCTGGCAGGGTGAAGTGTAATGTGGAAACTGTGGTTTGGAGCAGGCGAGGCCCCAGGGATGTTCCCTTGGCCTGCGAGTTTTCCTGAGAACACTAAGGCTTTCCGATGGGCACTTTCATTAGGCTGCCAGCTCTCTTTTCTGGAAGGTTTGTTCTTTCAGCCAAAGTTCTGGGAAAGGCTTTCTTTGAGAGATGAAAGGTTTCTGATTGAGAAGGGATCACCTGTTTACTCTACTGTTGTCATTGGAAACAATCCAACGAACCTAGAACCCTGAATATTCAGGAATTGGTTGCATCTGTTTCCTGACCCCCAACCCCAACTCCTAGCCACACCCAGCAGGACCCAGCACATTGGTGAGTTTCGGGGTTCCAGGAGCTGCTATGTTCTTAGTTCCAGACAGATTCTTGTAGGGGTGCTGGGCGCTCCTGCTGGGTGAATCCTGGCTTCTGTGGCGTCTGCCCTCCTCTACCACCTCTCTCCATGGTGGATCCGGGCAGGAGGGATGGAGAGGCTCAGCTAGCCCCACACCCTTTGACCTGGATTCAAGAGACTGGATTTTTAAGACCCTAGAGCCAGTTAGCTCTGAACCTTGCCTGCAGCTTCGGCGACAGCTGCCTCCACCGCACACATCCTGTAGACCAGAGGCCTTCCTAGTGCTCTTTCTTACCTTCTGTGCTCAGGACCAACCCCCCGCCCCCAGATCCTTTTGGAATTCTCCTTTTTGTTGGGTGTGAGTTTGGCCCGGTGATTGACTTCTGGGTCTGGGACATGAGAGTGGTTTTCTTCCTCTTCTACCTAAAAAGCATCCCCTTTTTTTTTATCTCCCTCACCCCGACCCTGTGTGTGTGTGTGCCCTCATGCGGAGGCCAAATCTAGGGTGGAGCTGTCCACCTGTTTTTTGAGACAGAATTTCTGTCTAACTGATGGTTCGCCTGTTCAACTAGGCCAGCGAGCCCCCGGAATCCTGTCTCTACCTCCCCAGCTCTGGGATTATAAGTGTGTGCTACCGTGCCCTGCGTTTTACCAGTGTTCTGCGAGTAAACGAGGTCCTCTTGCATGTGCAGCGAACATGCTCCCAGTTGAGTTCTGGTCCCAGCTCTCAGCATTTTGGCGTGTGGGGAGAGTGACTTGGGAGTTGATTTCTTGGAATTTTGGACTTGGTTTTAAGGAAGGTAGAATGTGTGAGTCACCATTCCCTCCTGGCTGGCATATCCACATCTATATTAGAAATGAAGAAGACAAGGTACATTTGGCCTCTTGAGTCCCTCTGCCCGGACCCTGTGCTGGGTGGCCATGTTAGCACTGAGAATTATCCAGATGCCGCAGGCTGTGAGGGAGGCTTAGGCCTGTCCCTCTTGTTCCTCTTGCTGATTGATGGTTCCCCAGCCTGATAGCACTTGGCCTGGTGCCCGGAGCTGAACCAGCAAATGTGACTTCCCTCCTGGGCGCCTCCATTGCTGGCTTCCATGGGAGGTGACCCAGCGGCAGCCTGGAAACTGGTTTTGCAGAGACGAGAAGACCAGTTTGTGTCGTTCTTTCCGGGAGGACAAGAGGCACAAGGACGGTCTTGGAGTCATTTTTAAGTTGACAGGAGTCACCCCAAAGAGGAGGTTCCCATGGTGCTGGAAAAATATAGCCACTTCTCAAAGATAAATAAGGGAGATGGCTACATTCCTGCTGGTCCCTTGATCTCCCTCCTCCCAGTCTGTTCTCCGTTCTAATCACCATGAGAGATAACCCCTAGCCCTGCCCATGCCCGTGATTCTGAACTTGTGACCCTAGTGGGAATTTGTCACACGCTAAGTCACCGGGGCGTTCTGTCTTTGGAACCGCAGCTCTGAACGCCCCGTTATGGACCCTCACTTCAGCAGAGATAACAAGACCGCTAGCCTCATCTGTAAGTGTGTGCCCAGTTGCTACAAACAGGCAGTTTTTTGAAAAGGCAGTATTTTAATGGCTCTTTTCAAGCCCCATCCTTTTTATTTGTTCTGTACATGGAGAGTGAACCCAGGGCTTCCTGCAAGAGCTCTACCACCAGGCTATGAATGACCCAGCACTTTCTTTTTCTACCCCAAGGCAGGCCTTGAACTTTTAGAATCCTCTTGTCTCTGCCTCCCAAGTAACTGGGGTTATTGGCCTGTGCCACCTGCTGGGCTTGCTGTGGTTTACCACTGTGGACATCAGAGAATGATCACTTCATTCCCTTGTTCATTTATTTAACTACTTATTTATGATGCTGGAGATTAAACTCAGGGTCTTGTGTATGCCAAGCAAACCCTCTACCATTGAGTCTCTTA